AATTATTAAAATTATTTTTAACACTTAAAAGACCAAACCTATTGGTAATGGTTTCAATTTAAAAAATATTTTGCTGTTTACCGTGTATGTTTATACAAAGTAGAGCCCGTGGAGTTCATTAATGTTCCCTCACTCTCAGCCATCAGTTGAACAGGTCATCATAGAATGGCCTTTTCATGCTTGTTATAAATCGTTAGATGCTAGCCCCCCGCCCCTCCACCCACCCCTCCTAACAATGAGCAAGTACAATTATTTGTTGTTCACAAGTCTCTGGGTGGCCTGACCCCCACCTCAGTTTAATTATCTCCGAGGTGTTTGATGCTAATTTGAAGTGTGAAGCAGGTCTCCTAATGACGCCGTGATCCTGATCACGCCGCGCTCCTGCAGCAGCAGCGGGATTGATTCCATTTGTTTTTCTCAGTCATTAAACGAATAATCTCAGTGTTGATTGCGAAAAGCTAATTACAGTAACCACCGCTGGAGTTTCCTTTGCGGTGCAGAATAAAACAATCATTACAGAGGAGCTGAAGAGGACTCAGTCAAACGCCCCTGCTGTTCGCTCATTTTCTCCATATTTTCTACCTGTCACTGGGAAAAATGTGATTTTATTTAACGCTGCTCATCAGGCTGTGAATGAGGGATGACATCTATATTGTCCAGGTTTAACAATATACTTATGGTGTTTAGATAGAATTTTGTGCTAACGTTTACAGTAATTGTCAAATAAATGTTATTGATCAATAGAGTAGGCCATCCCATAATTGTTAGAATTGAGACCAAGAGAGAAAGATAACTGGTTTTGTACGTCATCCAGTACTAAAACAAAAAATAATTAAAACAATTACAGATTATTGACTGTAACATACGAAAATACGTTTTAAAATTCCATGTAAAAAAAACTGCTTCGTCCACTTCAGGAGAACCTCCACTTAATGATGTATTTCATTTCTCTCTTCTAACATGCCTGACTCAGCTTCTTTTTTTCCCACATCTATGCTTTTTTTTTTACACATATCGGCGTTGGTGTCCAGTGTACAGTATGTTCCGTGGTCATTCATCGACAGGAAGTCTTTTATGTAAGCAGCAAAAACTCATTTCCAGCATTTCTAGATCTCTCCTTCTGTACAGTACATGTTTGTTTCATGCACTCGTCCCTGTCTGTCTGTTCGTCTGTCTGTCTGTCTGTCTGTCTGTCTGTCCGTCCGTCCGTCCGCCTGTTGTTATTGCTCTTGGCCTCGGCTGTGATGGTAGATATCTCAGAGACAACAGCCTAGCCTCGTTACTCCTCCTCCGTCCTCAGGGACAAACACTTGCCCTGGAAAACTCTGGTTAACAGGATCGTAAGCATCCCTGTTAGTGCGGCTGAGCTCCGTTACAGCCGCAGCTCGGTGTTGTCACCACCGGTGAGGGTGAAATTGAAATTCCAACGTACTTAAAGTTAAAGTGTGTGAATAAAACCACCGTGTGGGTTCTGTAAATGTAGTTCTATACTGTATACTGTATGGGTCCACACAGCAAACAACGGTGTGTGTGTGTGTGTGTGTGTGTGTGTGTGTGTGAACTTACTCTTGCATGTATCTTTGCACCTGTGTGTGTGTGTGTGTGTGTGTTGCTTCTGTGTTTGTTTGGCCTGATTGTTGTTGCCTCTGAGTCCGACTCCTTCCACCTCCGACCTCAGGATTCAATACGCACTGCTGTGAGCCCAGTGCACATCAAACACACACACACACATACACACACGCTCATCCTCAGCCATAATTTATGCAGTCGCTGGTCCTGATTTACATACATTACCATAGATCATACATGTAGTGGCTGCTTTGCAAGGTCAGTGATGAACCACTGGCTCTTATTAAAACAGGAGGACAGCATGTGTCATGGCTGCCGGAGTGTGGAATTGATTCATATCAGCAGCCTGGCAGAGGCGTTTTGACACCTAATAGCACAATTTGCTACTGTTACTGCACGCTCACCGCTGCCTGCTGCAACAGCTGGGGAAAATACGGGGAAATGCACAGAGCTCATTACCAGCTCTGTGAAGAACGCAGCAGCAAAGTTTTTGCCTCTCTCTCAGTGTGAGAAACACTAAATGCCCCACAAAGAGCTCTCTTTGTCTTGTGTGAAGGTATGTGAGCTGCAGCCACTCTCTCTCTCTCTCTCTCTCTCTCTCTCTCTCATTCCTCTTCCCTCTGTCCTTGTATCCTTTTCTTCACAGCTGGTTAATATGCATTTCATTAGAAAGCCTGCTGTTGGAGGAACGCACTTTCTTGGTGCGTCCCCTCCTCCTGCAGAGTCACTCCCTCCAGCGTTAGGCATAATGATTACCCACGATGGCCCCACCATTCTCTGTGGCTGGATTCACTTTGAAAGCAGCCACAGAGAAAGTAGTGGGTCATTCAGCACTCCTCACTTCCTGTCTCAGCCCGAGCTAGATGTTGATGAGCTTCTCTGAGGTTATTTGCTTGCGTATGTGTGTGTGCATGTGTGTGTGTGCGGTTGTGTGTGTGTGTAGACGAAGTGGGGCAGAGATTATAATCTGATTTAAAGCATGTCAGGGATTGTGAATAATTTCCTCATTACCTCCACCCCTCCTGTCATTTTCAGGGCATATTTAATATAACAAGAAAAAGGAGAGTCTCCTGTGTGTGTGTGTGTGTGTGTGTGTGTGTGTTCCAGCTTGTCTCTTTCCTCACTGCTTGAGGAAGAAAGAATTACTCTTTGCAGATGTACGCTTTCTTTTTCACACCCTCTCCCCTTCTCTCTCTCTCCCTCTCTCTCCCTCTCTCTCTCTCTCTCTCTCTCCCCCCCCCCCCCCCCCCCCCCCCCCCCCCCCCCCCCCCCCCTCTCTGACCCCCTGAGAGCTACAGCTGTCACAGTGTCACATTTCCCATCCATAATTGAGGAGTGTGCACTGCACAAAGCCCATGAAACCATGTCAACCACTTCCAGTTGCTCCTGTTAAATAATCAGGCAGAACCAACAGTGCCAGGGGGAGTATGTGCCTGTGCAGCTGCCAGTATCATGGCTTGTGCAAACAGTCTTACCTTCATCTCAACCGCACATAAATAAACCCTCTCCAGCTCAGTTGAGCTCCATTTCCTAATTGCCCCTCCAAATGAGATGTAACATTTCCCACATTTCTCTGCAGTCTGTTTCATTTTCCTAATTGTTTCCTTGAAGAAATGTGTTGAGTTTGAACTCTAATAACCAGGTTAAATGGCACAAGGGGAGGTGTGCCCCCTCCTATGCCCCCCCCCCACACACACACACATTTCTCTACCTGCACCTCGTACTTCACTTCTCACACCTCCGCCCCTTCCGTTTGTCTCGTTCCCCACCGTCTGCTCCTATTGGCGTCTCACACTGAGTGTCAGGAACCGACGGAGGTGGACAGGAACGGGAACGGGAACCCGAGCTCTCGCCGCCACCCACTCCCCTTTTGGGGTCTTGGTATAATTAAGCAGCACCGCCTCTGCCCTGTAACTGAAATGAGTCACAGTGTTGAGAGGTTAAGCATACACTACTGTGGCATTATCTCCCCTGATTATTATCACACTCACCTTTCACTCACACAGGATGTGTTTGTAAGGATGTAGAAACAGGAGGTGTAGAACACAGCAGCTCAGTGTGGCTCAGCTCGACACGTGTGTATGTAGAGCTAATGTACTGTCTTACTTATTTCTATCCCATATAATATTGTTTGTATAGTAACTCCCAGTGATGATGGTTGTATAAATCTGGTCATAATACAGTACACCTTATACACTGTTATATCTGCTGGAACTGCCCAAACTGTTTATTTTATTTAATTAAACCATAGAAATGAATATTAATATTAATTTGTTTTATTATTTATTTTGTATTAATTTAACCATAGAGATAATGCACATGCCCAGATGACTCTGTGTGGCTGTGCTGCAGCCTGGGGAATGTTTTAAAGAGAGCCAGAGCACAGAAGCTGAAACATCTGTAGTGACTGAGGGTTGAACAGAAATGGTATCCTCCCACTCCACAGCTGTAGTGCTTTCTGGTGACACCCCCTCCCCCCCCCCCCCCCCCCGGTCCAGCTCTTACAGGAGCGGGGATTCCGAGCCCAAACAGCTGGTGAATTATGATGGACGAGGCCGTGCGGTGGTCCAGTGGTTCAGACATCCACCACTCTGTTTTCTGTTAATCCTTATTAACAAGGAATTATGGAAGGACTCTGTTTAATATAATGTGACATTAGCATAGCATTAGTAATGACTCATAATGTAAAACAATATTGGTCCCAGGGGTTGTTGGTCCAAATCCTACTCCAACATAATATAATTTGAACTGTTCCAGTGGTGGGCCGACTCAACACAAACACCACACCAGAACAGGGCGTGAGGAACAAGCCTCCAGTCACTAGGTGGCAGCAACTCATACAGTGGATTGTACAGATAAAAATATACATGTTATCAGGTTCTCAGTAGTATTTCAATTCACTGGGTTGTGGGTCAGGGTAAACATTTTTTAAAAAGTGTATTTTTGTCTTTGCTGGTGGGAGTTTGGTGCCGGCAGTTTCTCCCACTTTCTTGTTGCGTCCAACTCTCCTCTAAACCTGGCCCAAAATATTACCAGCTTAGGAGAGACGGTTTTTTAATGCTGTACTAACACTGAGTTTACGGACACACTGTATTGCAGTGAAATAGCAGTACCATCGTTTATTGAGTGCAGCTCCTGCACAGACCAACATGATGTTTATTCTGAATGAGTGAACCACGGTGGCATTAATATTTAGAGCCATGCTGGGGCGTACATTCTGAAGGAGCAAAGAACATTATTCATTCACTTTCCTGAACCTTTTTTCCCCTGCTTTAGCCTCAGAGATGAGCTGAAAAAGCCCACAGGCTATGACTGTGCTCTGGCCCACAGGCCACTGTGGACGGTTGAGGAGGTTCACCAGAGACAACTCAATGATCTTTCATGTCATTTTGATAACACCTTGTACTCTGCTGTTTTTATATTCCTCACAGAAACACTGCAGCCGTGCTGTCGGTGTGCACTGATAATCTCTGAGTCACTGCTCCTCTGTGCAGGGCTACTGCTTTGTTGTTGTTTGCACCAACATCAGCGGGACCTGCAAAAGGTCAACGGCTGCTGCTACTGAGGAGAGTAAGAAACCGTCGTGATCACAACAGCTGCATATAAACAGACGTAACAGAGACTGGGTTTATTTACTAGTGTAAATGACGTGAGCCGTTACTGTGTGGAGAAGGAGGAATGTAAGCAGACCGCTTCATGTTGAAGCGACGTCTTCCAGAAGAGAAGACAACACTGTGGATTTCCACTCTCAGTGATAAAATACTGCGACAGATATTCTCCATTTAAAAGATGGTATACATCCCTCCGTCCTGCTGTAGCTTCTTCCACTTTGTACATGAAAATATTTTTTTAAGCATTCATTTATCATTAATTGTTAAATTATTTAGGAGTATGAGGACAAATAAATATATTTTTCCTAGTTCTTTAATGTGCGTGTTATTTGTGTTAAAATGAATGCATGTTCTTTTGAAAATGTCCCAATGTTTTGAATTTTTTTTAATGTTCTGTAAAACATTGTTATTTATAATAATGTATTGTGGAAATGCATTATTTATCATTTTATTTTTTAATTCCAGAAAGATCAAATATAAACCTCTCTACTCACGTTAACATTAATGGACCTTCAGTTACCGTGTGACTACAGTAACTCTGTTCCAACCGTTCCCTGGCCTTTAGATAATTAACTATACTTTACTTACTCAATATTTAAACTATTGGGCTGTTGTTGTCCTTGCGCTAATTCCTGACCTTAGTAGGTTTTTCCGGTTCATCCTATTTACCAGAGAATGATGGTTTAATCACCAGCAGTGTCCTTGGGCAAAACGTGAAGATTCACTCCTCCAGGAGGCTCCAGTAAACACTGTGTTGTTGGTTCATAAAGGGGCTGAATGACAAAAACCGCAGTGTAAAGTGTAAAGGTTTTTTTTTTTACACTTTAATGCATTTATTATAGATTTTCTAAAAACATCTGTTTTCAAATTAGCTCCGAGGGCTCTTTTGTGTCGGTACTTTCTGCCTAGAGCATATTTCAGTATTTTATTAGTTGCTGTGTTTATGCCAGGAGTGACTAAAAGACAACACTGGTGTCTTCTTTATGGCCGCGGAGATGAAAAATGTTGTTTTTAAGACCACATCCTGTTGTCCACCCACTGCTTTTGTTTTATGAGCTTCTTTTAAAAAATGAACTCCTATACCATCTTTGGGTTTTCTAGTCTTAAGACGTGGAAATTCACTTCCTTCCACCATGCAGTTCATGCACTGTGATATCTGCAAGAACGGCCAGATTGGTATTAGAAATTAATTATGCGTAAAGTAAGAGGAACAGATTGTGTGACGTGTCGTCGGCTAAACACAACACGGGTATACACTACGGTATGACCTGTGCAGGCGCTGTTTGGTCTTTTCTCATGTGGCTCCACAGTAAAGCACTACTTCTATGTGTCATTTGTGTGATGAAATGTGACATGGCAGTGGATGGAGGGCACGCCGTGCTCCTGTACCCTGTGTGTGTGTGTGTGTGAGTGTGTGTGTGAGTGATCGCTCTCTAGATCAGGAAGCTGCTGCGCTTATATCTATGTCTTGTTTAGAGGTCAAGCTGTATATCAAAGGAACTTGGGGGCACGGGGAGGTGGGGAGGGTTTACACAACACAGTGATTATCTGACTCAAGTGTTTATTCAGGGGGAATAACATTAGAATAGCAGCGTCCAGTGATTCTTATTTACAGCTTCGTCTCTCCGTCTATTTCTCCTGGGCAAACATATCTCATCTTAACAAGGCAGTTTAAAGGGATTATTTTGCTCCTTTCCAGGAGGCTTTCTTGCCATTATGTGTGACAGGATCGTTCCTAATGATTTCCTCGTGTGTTCGGCAGCTCACCAGTCAAGGTGTCCTTGACTTTGTCGGCTGCTTAGCTGCCAGGAGAATGCTGGGAGAACAAGATACCCGTGTGTGCTCAGTGTCCTGTTCTTCTCGTGCGGCGGCAGTGTGTCATTGTTTCTACTCACTTTTGTCATTGATGTCTCTGCTGTGAACAGATAAAAAAAGCATATTTGAATAAATATAAATATAAATATAAATATACAATTTTTTTCTCGAGTGTTTTGTGTGACTCGTGTCTATGTTATTTTATGGGACTAAATTCCAACAGATGATCAATCAGGAAATGATGTCATTTGTCATTCTCTCTCTGTATTGGTCTAATCTACATTATCTGACTATTCTCTGTGATTCCTGTGTTTTGTGACTGTGCGGTGTGTGTGTGTGTGTGTGTGTGTGTGTGTGTAGCACCATTAGCCTCTTCCACCACAGCGCAGCCCAGGCCCAGGCCCAGGCTTTTCTCTTCAGACATCATGTGTGTCTCCTGTGAGTAATCAGGTACTTGATCATAGAGACAGGTAATTATTCCTGTGCCAAGCTCACTGGCAAATGAAAAGTCCAGCAAAAAGAATCAGTCTCATCCAACACAGCCTGGAGTGAGAGGACAAGGAAAGAGTAAAATGGAGCTCTGGGAGAATAAATGACCGAATGAAAAGCTCTTAAATCAAAGGCAAAGGCTTTCTTCTGCCTCCTTGGTCTCTTTGGCGTGTGTGTTCCAGCGCTTCAACGCCACAACTCCACAGAGAGGAAACTATGGAATTCTGAGTTTTAAAAAAAAAGGATCTTAGATGATTCATCAGTGGATCACATTTAATGACTTAAAGACACATTTTTCCCACTCAAATTCCCATGGTGACTCTTAAGGAGTTTAAATAGAATCCTTAATGGTACTGGCTGCAGCCCAGTGATTAGAACACTTCACCAGAAAAACAATGTTTTACTTGGGATCGCAGTCTTTGGGCTTTTTTTTTTCTTTTTCAACAGCAGCTCTTTAAGACGTCTGTCGATGTGACGAAGTGCTTACCGGCAGAATTTTTTTTACCTCCCCTCCACTACATCTGTGATCTACATTGCCTGCCTCATTGGTGTCATTTAGGTCTGTTCTGGAGCAGTGAGTAAACCAATCTCCTTACATACACCTCCGTCTGCACTTTGCCTTGATTTATGAACAGGGAATAAACCAGTTGAACTTGAGGCTCATTTGTCACCTGTCATTAAGATGTACCAGTAAGGTTTTTCTGGTTACAAATGGCCCCTTCAGTTGTTGTTGTTGTACTGCTGCAGCTACTTAAACGACTGTGTAGACGAGCTCGGATTGTCCGATGGATTTGACTGCTACAGCTGAGTGAGTTCTTCCTTAGTCGGCAATCGTTCATTGGATTTCATCTTTAAAAAACGACTGTGGGATGAACCCTATCCACCCATCCAACCACCTACCCATCCAACCACCCATCCTACACTCACAACAGTGGTTACACTCTTGTGGCTTGAATCTCCCACTGGAGACATAGTGATTTGGCTCTGGGATAAACCTCCAGTAGATGTGTGCTGAATTGAAATGCTAAGTCTACCATGAAACTCCAGATCCATGGGAGACTAATCAGATGTTGAAAGGCAAATAAATAAATAAATAAATAACGGCACATTGCGAGTCTAATTTAGCCTGGACGTACGCTCCTTCATTTAGCGAGAGCCTGACTGCAGCAGGAGCACAGGTTGTAAAACATGTCTGGGGACTGGCATGGTTTTTTTTACAGGGTAAAAGGGTGACATTGGCTAAATGCAATTCAAATCAAAAGATTATGCTGGACATTTGTGAAGACAAAGAAAAGGCAAAGTAGAAAAGGTGCCTGAGGAAACAGGCGGAGTGGACAAACTGAGTGATGTTTGTTTAATTAAACGTGTAAGTGTTTAAGTAAACGGCTACGCGTTAAATATGACTGGGAGCTTCAGTATCCACATGCAGCCCTGCTGGTCGTCGGGCAGCCTGTACTGACGCCTGTACTGTTTCTATAGTGAAATAACTGGAGCATGTTTGACTGCTGAGATCACATCGTTAACGTTTGAGCCTAATTATAGCAGTCTGAGTCAACACTCCTTTTTAATTTAGCTGCACAAACTACTAGAAAGATGTTGGTAGAAATGTCACTTTAAAGTGTTTCTGCAAAGACATTTACACTGCACTATTTTAAAATTCATTTAGAGGCAATTACCATCACTGTCATAGCAGCAGCCTGTAAACATACACGTCTGGTATTAGCTTAATTGGCTAATGCCCTGGATTGGCTGATGTGGTAATTTGATTGTCAATAGTTGTTTGTCTTTATGTTTATCTCTGCAGTGAGCATATGTAAGCCTCAGAAACACTCATCCTGTAAGATTCAGATACATGATATGCTCGTTATCCTGACTGACTTTATTGTACAAACTACACAGGATGTAAAGGCAGCTTTCACTGTAATCTGCACGGTGTGTCACACACTGACATTCATGATAAACATTCAGTCAGAGTGGGTATTTTTGCAACAAGAACGTTCTGAATTCAGCTGAAAACAGAGGGAAGGACTGTGAACGCTGAGTGTGTATGTCTGAGCCACTGCACACACACACACACACACACATACACACACATCTAGAGAGCAATGATAAGTCCTGGAAACCACAACAAAGATGAGGGGCTGTGGAAGATACTGCAGGGCAGAAGTTTATCTCCTAATCAATATGAACACAGAGGGATTAGAGCGATGTTTATCACATATTATTCTGTGATCTATTAGAGCGGGGCTGCTGGAATCATACACCTGGTGTCTGTGTGGAATAAAAGCTCCTGAGGTTCGTTGGACAGCAATGAGAACGTTGGAGCAGGTGTGTGGGTCCTTGCTCGGCTCTGCAGTGTACTGTGTTGTTGTGAGGTTGTTTATTTACTGGATCACTTTTGTAAATATGTTGAAAAATGTTAAGTGTATTTATTATATTCATTCAAACATAGACCCCTCACACTTTCTCCACAAGCTGCGGTTCTCGTTTAGTTTCTGCTGCATGTCGAATAACTTTGCGCCCTTAGAGGGCCCTGACCCTCACTTTGAGAACCACTGGCATAGGATGATATTTTTGTTCCCCCAAAATGCAGTGCTGTAGACTTAACAATAACATGTATGTTTTTAATAACCTTGCAGGACAACAGAAGACGGCAGTTGGTGTAAAGATTTTAATTCCTATGCAAACTCTAATTCCCCAGACTCACTCGGTTGCCTTGAAGCTACACAGTTTACTTTTTAATTAGTGATTTTAAGAGACTTATTGCCCCATTATCTACAACAATGACCAAGGAATAAAACCTTGCAGAATAATGTACCTATAAGTACTTGACAAGAATTATAGGCATAATTAACACAATAGCAGCCAAATGATGGTTATTTGTTCTGCCGTGACCCAAGGTTTTGTCAGACACAAAAGCCGATGCCGTGTGGACCTGAGAGACTCTGTTCAGTGCAGCACTCTGCAGCTGCCGCGGGATTTGTCAAACACATAATCTCAACCA